TGGGGCGTCTGTTAGCCTGTTTGGCTACCCTCTGCGACTGGACCTCGGTCCTAGCAGTAAAATCACGGACGTTAAACTCTCGGGGCTCCTTTCAGCCTTCTGGGCTGCCCGCTGCGACGAGACTTCGTGTCTTAGGAGCTAAAGACTTAGGAGACACACCCACACACACTGCCCTGACCGTCTGCTGACAGAATTGGTGTAGTCGGCAGGATTGTGCTACTGGTTCACATACAGCAACATGAAGCCTGTCATGATAGACATGGATGTGGTATACAGAAAGGGTTTGCCTGAGAGGGATGGGGTAACCCTAAATGGGACAAAGAGATGTTAGAGAAAGATTGGGGGAAATCCCAGGAGATCTGGGAACAGTTTCATAACTGGTGAGCCGCTTGTAAGATCAAAAAGGGAAAAGGGAAAGGCACTTGGGAGGAGTGCCAGTCTGGCCAGGAGCAGTGCAAGGCCATGTGGGATCAGCTGCTTTGCCAGCACAAGGACATATACTCCCCTATAACCTCTATGATGGAGTGCATGGCCACACGCATGGAGCAGGCCCCCAGCCACCTTCCCCCCCAACTCTCCACCTCTGCTCCTCCTCCACCCCAACTCCCTGCCATTGGTCATCCCAACGCTGCAGTATGATGTGGTTCCACCAGTTGGAACTGGTTTTCCTCTGCCAGAAGTGGCGTTCTGTGTTGTGAAGGGGATTGAGCATTGTGGCTGAAGCAGGAGTGCCAGGGACTGAGTGAAGGGGTCCTGCGGTTTGAGCTGGTCATTGTTGTGCTGAAGCAGCACATGGGCAGTCTGGATGAACCGATGGAGGCTCCAGGCAGTGTGGACATACTATTTTGAAATAATTCTTAGCTATTTTGATGCTGCCTTGTAGTGTGGATGCGCTATTTCAAAATTATTATTTTGGGAGTTACTTCGAGTAGGGGTGTGAACGAGTAGTTGAGCAGATGATGAACCAATAAGCCTAGGCTTCCTGGTTAATCTCCTCTATATCAGAGGCAGCAAGGGGGGGCAGGAGCTAGGGCTGGGGGGCAGCAGTGTCTGTGCCAGTGCAAGAGGGTGGGCAGGGGAAGCTGCCAGAGCCCCTGTCTACGGGGAGTCCAAAATCAGACTGCCTACCACTCCCTCCCCCAGCAGCCTCTGTCTGTGGGGAGCTCAGACCACCCAGGGACAGGGGCTGCTGTCACCTCATGCTACTGTCTCTGTATTAGAGGCAGTAGTGTGGGGCAGCAGGCAGTCTGTGTGGAGAGCTGGTTTTTAAATTGGCTCCCCTCATGGACTTGCTCCTGCTTGGCAACCCGTGCTGACACAGAGGCAGCAGCGCAGAGTGGCAGGGGGCTGCTGGGAGCGGAGCTGGAGTGCACTGGCTGCCAGCCCTGCTCTCAGGGACTATAGAATAGTTGACTAACTGCTAAGAATTCATGTGGTTAGTTGACTATTTTATTACCCTCTAACTAACATCCCTAATTTCAAAATATGTTTTTTCAAAATAATTTCCTACTGTAGACATGCCCTCAGACTCTGAAGACAGTCAAGGTGAAATTCATCCCACACCTACACAATCACTAAGTAAATGGCCTTTAAGTGCCAAACCATTCAGAGGGTGAAGTTGCATAACCTGTGTACAGGACACAGGACAGATCAGAAGCTCATTTGATGAGCTCATTCTAATAGCTTCAAAACTGAAAGAGGGGCAACAAGTCCTGCAATCAACTTCTCCACCCTCAAAGCATGGTGTATGCAATGAAGGGAAGGGGGAAAGAAGAGTCAGTTTGGATGCCTACTACCCAGCTTCCCGTCACTTTTACAGATCTGACAGATGTTTTCTACTTTGACAGTTTACTATTGCCTCTACATTCCAGGCTGAATTTCACCCAAAATTAATCCGAAATATATAAACACCACTGTTTAGCTACCAAATAATGTAACTCTTGTTATTTTATAACAGCTAATATCAGGATTCATATTTCTTTTCCAGTTGGACCTTAATTTACTATTATTATTATTATTACTATTTGTAATGAACAGGAGGAGTGCTGACCAGCACTTGGTGACTGAGGGGTTAAATTCAACAAATGGTCTGGTAGCACTTTATAAACTAACAAAACATGTAGATGGTATCATGAGCTTTCGTGGGCACAGACCACCTCTTCAGATGACCGGAGTTGTACCCACGAAAGCTCATGATACCATCTACATGTTTTGTTAGTCCATAAAGTGCTACCAGACCATTTGTTGTTTTTTTCTGTAACAGCTGGAGTAAGTTAGGGCCCAAGGTTGCTTGCAGGGCTAGCAGTGGAGTGGCTGGTGCTTGAGAATCAGGGAGCTATAACTGGCTCCCTGATTGGCTTCTTCCTAGTTCTCTTGTGTTCAGCAGCTCTCCATGCAGGAAAGAACTAGATCCTTATTTATATTTTAGCCTATCTTGGCTTGTATAAATTGGGGACTGAATGTTTATTCTGATTTGGTAACACCACTGGACCATTGAGAACTCATTGTTGGCTATAGGG